GATTCATTCTCAGTTTCACTATTTTTGTTAGAAGTGATGGAAAATGACTTTTTTTCTCCTTCTCATTGCCTCTTTAAAAATAGAAAGGCCATAGCTGCTTCTCTAGGGAATTTTGTCAAGGCAGAAGTTTAGAAATAAAGATGGTGTGTCCTCTGCTCACATTTGGTCTCTTAGACTAAGGTCACCTGGCTGACAGCTCTGGTCTCCTAGGAAGGCTTTTCCTCTCCCAGTGCTTTAAAAATCACAGAAATAGGTTTCACTTGATATTTAGTTCATTATTCTGTTTGAAGTATCTTGTTGATTTTATAGGTCGAACGTGATTTAGGTCTATGATGTCTTTGTAGGAAATACCAGAAATAATCCAGATTATGGATTATTAGAATCCTGTTTCTTAAAATGTTTATATCATTAACAGAAATTTGTATTGATATTTGAGCTATGGGTGGATAGTCTCAAGTATCAGCTCTGGCTTAAACAACACATGCCCTAAATAATACATAATGAGTTTGGTACTTATATTAAGATAAACTGAATTTTCTCTCTCTTTCCTTCCTGTTCTCATTTCTTTCTTCCTTAATTAGAAAAAAACAATTAAAAACATTAACTGAAGTTTTGGGGAAAACCTACCCATAGCTCTAACTTTCCAAAAGAGCTATTTTCATTTTTCATGTATTACTTTCTCTCTTTCTCCACAGATATGGATGTTTCATGTGATTAAAGTAATGTTTTATGCAATTAAAATTGTACAGAAAATTTATAAGTCTTAACACTAAAAAAATAAGTCCTGGGCAAATGAAATGTGTACTGAGGAAAAAAAAAATAGGATAGGATGAATATTAGGATTTGAGAGCCATATTAGGTCCAGCTGGATTATCTGATGTCAAAAATAAGGCTGTTCAGGGCTTTCCTGGTGGTACAGTGGTTGAGAGTCCACCTGCCGATGCAGGGGACACGGGTTCGTGCCCCGGTCCGGGAAGATCCCACATGCCATGGAGCGGCTGGGCCCGTGAGCCGTGGCCGCTGAGCCTGTGTGTCCGGAGCCTGTACTCCGCAATGGCAGAGGCCACAACAGTGAGAGGCCCGCGTACTGCAAAAAAAATAAATAAATAAAAATAAAAAAAATAAGGCTGTTCAAAGTATGAAAAAATGACATGTTCTGAGATATCTAAAATTTATCCCAAAGAGGACTCAGGAGATAGGATTTAGATCAGAGTAAGTAAAATTTTCTTCTCTCATTGCAAAACTTGATAAATATCAGATATATCTGCTTTCAAACTCTAATAATAAAATTTATGTAAAGCAAAAAAATAAATAAAATTTATCCCATTATTTGCCCTTGGGCTTCTCTATTTTTTTGGATAAAATTTATTAAAAAATATCTACTATGCTTTTGCTCTGTTTATGATATAGCAAGAAAAGAATGAGATTTAGGTGGAGAGGAACATGCTTGAGTTTCTTCTCCATCACTTACTATGTGATCAGTACAATGTTCTTCACCTTTCTGAGCTTCAACAGAGATAAAAGTTGTTAAATCACAGAATACTTTAAGATTGGATTGAAAATGCTAGTTTTGGATTTACATTCCATACACATACTTACAGTTACAGAGAAACATGACTAATTAACATGTATAACTAATAATTGTATTTTTTCTTTGTGACTGTGGTTATCATTTGTGGAATGAATGTCCTTTTTATGTAAATGTTGATGGTTTGATACATTGGTTAGGTTATGTATAAACTCCAAGGTCTTATGAGGAAACTTGGCTTATCCAAGATCACTTGCTGGTGAGTGACAAGGCAGTGCTAATGTATTTTATTTTCTATTTGAGTGTCCTTTTTGATAGGTCACACCATAGGCACTTAGCAGCATGTTGATACCTTTAAACAGCATTTAAACATTCCTTTGTCTGCACCACAGATCACATCAACATCATAACATTACCTTGTTTCTGATTATAAAAAATAACACTTGGAAAATAAGAAAGAATAAAGAAGAAAATGTAAGAAACAGGTTATTATATTCCTCTCGTGGAAATAACCGTTTATATTTGTGTTGCCTCCTAATTTTTTTTCTCACTGTAGAACTATTTTCGCTTACTGTGACATAGGTGTATTTTCCCATGTCCATCTTACCACCTTTCTTATTCAAGTTTTAGAATATATATGTAATAAAGTAACAGCTTAGAAAGGATAAAATAATTTCCTACAGAAAAATGAAGATACTCTTAACTCTATCTTTTACGAGCTAAAGAGTTAAAAGGCAGAAGAAACAGGCGTTGGCAGATTCCTTTACTAAGGTCCTACTTGTGGCTTGTTTGGAGAGGATAATGCTACTTACGATGTCTTCAGAGATCAGTGTGGTACGATGGGGAGAGAGCAAGGCTTTGAATTCGGGCTCGCTTGAGTGAATCCTGGCCCCATCACCCACCAGCTGCATGATGCTGGACCATCACTTAAACTCTCTGACCTCTGGTTTCCTCACCTTTAAAATGGGATGAACATGCCTGCCTTTCAGGGCTGCTGTAGGATTAGACCCAACAACCGTCAATAGAGTTCCTGGCCCGCCATCTGGATGAGATGATAGTCAGAAGCAACCTAAGGCCTAAGACTTGTCAAATTTAAGCATTCAATATGGAGAGCATGTTATAACCATAAGCCAAGATATAACTCTGTTCTGAAACGATTTATTTGCATAATTCACCATTTCCTCTTTCTCTTGCAAGTATGATTACTGCCAAAAGAGGAGAAGAAAATGATGAAAAGTGAAAGTGGCTTCAGTTGATGTCTGATTGGCAGGACCCTTCACTGTGAGCTGCAGCAGCCCCGGTCCAGGTTGCGGTGTTCCCTTCGTCCTGGGGGACACCCTTGCTGACGGTCTGCGGCATGATGACCCAGGGTTAGGTTTGGGGGTTTCACAGATGAGTCCCCAAGGGACATTCACGCTCCAGGCCTCCTCTTGTTGAGGCAAGAGATCCAATTCAGAAAAAGCAAATACCTTTTCAAGACACTGAAAAAAATTTCAGAATGAAAATAGCTTTAGTCAGCCCTATTGTGGGTGATAGGGCAGGCGGTATCAATTCTGAAAACTTAAGTTGTTGATTGAACATACAATAAAAGTGAAAAATCACTATTGCTTTTAGCCACTAAGAAAGTCAATACTTGGGTGTATCTGAGGAACAGCAACACCAACCTTATCTTTATTTCCACGCTAGCTGTAGAGTTAGAGGAATCCACAGGCCGTGGTTGCTCGTGTCTCATCTAGGATGAGTCAGAGATGTAGACACAGCCCAGATAAGAATGCAAGGAGGGTGGTGGTTAAGGATTGTAATAGCTACAAGTACGGTATTAAGCAGGTAGTTAATTCTCATAAGGGAAACAGGAGGATGTCTCTAAGAACTGTTACCTAAGTGGTCCTTGCAGGATGAACAGAAGTTCACCAGTAAGGATAACAGCCTTCTAGGCCCAGAAGACTGTATGAGCAAGACACAGCATGTGTAGTATATTGCAGTTCAGGGAATGGAAAGTAACCATGTGGTTGTGGGTCCTAAGGAAGGGGGAGGGGAGGATGAGCTTGAAGCCACCGCGCTAGTGCGACACTTGACTTTTACCAAAGACAGCAAGATTTTTACTTCCATGCCAGTGAAATGTTGGGAATGTTATATACTTGGTAAAAGCATAAAGAATAACTTAGCCAATCAATAGAAAAGAGTAATTTTTAAAACACAGAAAAAGCACTCAACTGTGCACCTGCTGAAATAGACCATTTTTTAGGAAAGTGAACAGTGTCCTATCTCAGTCCAGCTAGTAGGCAAGTGCTGCAGAGTTAACTCCCCACCACACGTCAGAGATGTATCAGCCTAAGTAACCTGGTGGACCACACAGCTAAAGCATCTGCTATGGCTCGTCATAGAAAGTGTTAAATCCCTTATGCCCTCAACCACTGGTGCTCTCTCAACTTGCAGAAGTCACCACTGGTTCGGTTAAAGGTACCTTTACAGAGAGAGGTTTAAGGAAAGGCAAACGTGTATTTTTAAGAGAAAATATGTATTTAAAATACACATATATTACTCTTTCAAAATTAGGACAGTGATAAGAGACACTTTGGTAGGGGCACAGGCAGGAAGTACTCAAGTAAATAGAAGAGTTGATAGCATAAGACCCGTGCTCTTCTCAGTACATTGTATTCTCATAATGCTTTCCTGATTTTCCCTTTACTTTAAGCACTAGATGGGAAGTCAGGAAACCAGGATTCAGAGCCAGCACAGCGTTTTCTGAACATCTGCCTCATCTCAGACAGGTCTCTTTACTTTTCTAGCCCTCCGTTCCCTCTCCCCTCCCTGGTGAGAGGATTTTCGAGTAGGTCCCACAGGAAGTAGCAGAGCTGCTTCACGGGCCTCTCTGGAAGATGACGGGGGTCTTCCACCAACCCTTCCCTTCCAAGAGAGCAGCTTCACTCTCGTTTGTATTATGAACAGGGGCTTTTATAAGAATTATTGATAAAAGGATTCTATCACTTTTTAAAAGTCTGGGAAAAAAAAAACAGAACCCGGTATTTCATGGGGCATATCCAGGTCAGAAAGAATTTCCACATCTGGAGAATGGGATAACAGTAGTTCCATTTCATAGCTATCTGGGGGTTGAACAAGATTACTACATGTGGAACAGGGCGTAGAACAAAGGAAGCGTTTGATGTGTTAGCTCTTAACACCCCACCCCAATAGGTCCCTCACAAATGAGACTGCATTTCATGCAACTCTTAAACTTTGAGTATGAGCTGTTGACCTGAAAAAAATTGCCTAATCCGTCTGTTTTCTATCAAAAACACTCCAAAAATGTCTTGTACATGTTCTCTGTGAATTTTTAGTATAACCATTTTATTTCTATTTCTTGTACATCGCTCTTTCTCTCCCACAACCAAAAGTTTTCTCCTTACATCAGATTTTTGAAATACGTCTGACCGGATGCAATGATGAAGTTGCACATATTGGTGTGTTTCAGGCTCGCCAGCTCGTGGGAAAGTGACGTCAGTGTCCACAGCCTCACCCTGCCCTCTGCAACCTGCTTGGAGCTGCTGTTGATATTGTCAAGGAGCAATGCCACATTGCCTCCCTCCCTCCGCTGCATGAATTCTTTCCAGGTAAGGCATGGCTCCTTTACCACGGCGTGATTTCTCAGTTTGACTTGTTGTCGTTTTTTAAGGATCCTGTCTTTAACAGGCGCTAGCCCATGGAAACCCACATTTTCACAGGATGGTAATAACGAGCACAATGCGTGTGTTGCCTTGTTCTGTCTCTTTCTAAATGGAGCCTCAGAACTGATTAGATAATTGTCTAGTAGTGGCCGAACCCATGTCTCTCTAACCCGGGGTTTGTCCTCGTCATCTCCGTCTTTCCTGCCTCTGAGAGAAGAGGCGGGAACGTTCGGCAAAGACACTTGTGAATGCCACTTCCCTTTTCCCAGCTTTGCCCTAGAACAAGGATTTTCGGCCAGCATTAGTGTCTTTGCTGCTTTTAGCTTGCAGTCAGATTGCCGAATGGAGGTTTAACAGTGGCTGCATCCTCCCCCAACTCTCGGCACCTTTTCCCTCTCTCCCCACTCCCTCCCTTCTCTGGGTATTTATCTGTGCTCCTGGTCAGAGCAGTATAGAACAGAATAACACATGTGGACTGACCAGCAGGAAGACACCTTCCCTGGTAGCTAGTTGTCACCCAGGTGGCATATGAGAATTCACATGTTGGCTGGTCACTTCACTTGTGACCATATAGCTACTGAATGTTATTGAACTTATCTGTGACTCTCAGCATTGGAAAAATATTCCCAAGCCCTCTGAGCCTGTTGAGCAGGCCACGTGCATTGCTGAGAGATGACTGAACGTGGGTGGCTTGTTTCTACTTCTGAAGGGTTGCTGATGTGTCCTAAGATAACTTCAGAATTGGTGGATATTGCTTGGTGCATCTCTGTGGTAAAACAAGATGTGGATTTTCCTATGAAATATAGCTCAGGAATTTGGTAAAAAGAATAATAATAATAACTGCTCCATAATAATTTGCATCCGTATTCTCCTGGTAACTCTGTTACATTGATTGTCTCTGTGATTTTCTTCCTGATACACACATTTCGGACTTTGGCTGTGTCATACCTGTTTGAATTTATCATTACTCGATGATCAGCTTGAATGTCCTAGATTCAAGGACCAGAGAGAACACCTTCCCACTTTGTAGGAGAGGAAACTGAGACCCAGAGAGATGGAGTCAGTTGGCCAGGGAGTAGCCAGCATGTTAGAGACAGAGCTGGACTCGCCAGGCTTACGCTGGGTAGCAGCTTCTGCTACCCAAATTCAGTGCTCGCTGAAGCCCCAGGAGGTGGACGGGGTGTGAGTGGTCATATCTGCCTTGGAATGTCCACAACACCCCCTTATTATGTGATTATTGTAATTATTTGTCTACTGCCCTGAACTGGAACTGATTTAAAATTCTGTGTATCAATCCATATTTCTTCTAAGTTTTGCTCTTTGGATTGAACATTGAATAACACAAAAGTTCACCCACAAACTTTTATGGGAGATGCGAGAAACTTAACAGTGGGGGAGCGAGGCTGGAAGACAATAATTTTTTATTTCACTCCCTTCTGCACTGTTGGAAGTTTTTATATAATGGATGAGTGAAGAGCAAAAGAGATGACTCGAACTTGGAGGATTTTACAGCCTATTGGGGGAGATAGAACTGTCATCCATGGGTGATATAAATCTAGAATCATTTTATTACAAGGTAGCCTCCACGCAAGTCTTAAAGAGATTAAAGGTAAAAGAGTAATCTAGGTCGGGCGTGGGGGATTTGAGAGGAGGACCAATCTGTATTTCTTCTCCAGGAGACGGAGGAAAACCAGCTCCTTCAAGGCGCTCACCTGGAGCACACGTACACACACAGGCACGAAAGCCTGGCCCGCCCTGCGTGCCATCCGTGTTCGCTCCCGGCACCTGTCATCACAGGGGCTCTCACCATCAGGATAATTGCTGACTGTCCCTCTCTATTAGTGACTGTGCTTCTGCTTTCAGTGCATTTGCTGAACATGATTGCCAGGGGCACACACACTTTTCCCAGTTTCAAAGGTACAGAGAAACTGGGCGTGGGTTCACAAACAATGTCTGCTAAAGAGATCTTGTCCCTGCCGTTACCCCTGGAAAGATGCATTCTTATCAAGAACACACCAGGAATTGATTTCCCCACGCAGGTGTTCACTCCAAGATAAAGGATCAGTGAACAGGGGAGGATGTCTGTCAGGATTAGAAAGAGATTCTCTGCTTTTTCACCTTCGGAACACCTACCACATCAGTTATTACAATGGCAAGGAACTGGGCTGCTAATGTTGCCCGTGTTGGGGATTTATTTCTTCAAGTGGAAACTCACTTTAGTGCGTGTTTTTTTTGTTCTGTTTTTTTTTTTACAAAAAGCTGTGCTGGGGCTTCCCTGGTGGCGCAGTGGCTGAGAGTCCGCCTGCCGATGCAGGGGACACGGGTTCGTGCCCCGGTCCGGGAGGATCCCATGTGCTGCGGAGCGGCTGGGCCCATGAGCCGTGGCCGCTGAGCCTGCGCGTCCGGAGCCTGTGCTCCGCAACGGGAGAGGCCGCAACAGTGAGAGGCCCGTGTACCGAAAAAAAAAAAAAAAAAAAAAAAAAAAAAAACAAACCATAGAGATAAAAGAGCTGTGTTGGCAAGAGCTGTAATATAGTAGAATGACACTTGTTAAAGATACCATCTTTACATTTCCAGTTCTCTAACTTTGCAGGGCGAGTCAGTTACTGTGAGCTGCTTTTTCTGTAAAAATGTTATTTTAGGTTTCTGAGGCTTCAGACAGCACTACTGCCTGAGCTCTTATCACTGCCAAATCCCAGAAGGAAGGGTTTAATCTTATTAGTTAGAGCCATTAATGTATATGAAATTCTAACTTCTTAAATTATAGTGCAACATTTCTCCCAGGCTCACAGGGATATCGTTGGGTGGTTTTGTTATACTTTTCACTTCCGCTCTGGTCCAGTCCCTTAATATCCCTGGTGTGATTCTGAGCAAACAATGTAGGATTTGGTTGAGAATCACATACCATAGTTGTTGCAGCCCCAAGAAGGATGGACTTACCACGTCACTCCCCGCTTACGGTCCTTCTGTGACTTTCTATTGCAGTGAGAACAAAATCCAGACTCCTTATCCGGACCCACAAAGCCCAGCAGTATCTGTCCCTACCTCCCTCTCTGGCCTAATCCCCTGCTCGCTCTGTCTCACCCACTCTGTTCCAGACACACTGGCCTTACTTCCTGCTCCCTCTCGTGGGCTGGTCCTGGCCGCAGGGTCTGTGCACTGCCTGTTCTCTGCTTCCAGGAGAATACTCTGGACCAGAGCTTTGCGTGGCTGGGTCCTCTTGTCTTTCAGGTCTCAGCTCAGGTGTCCGTTCCCCTAAGAAGCCTAACCTCACCCCCACCCCCTGTCCCTTACTAAATTCCCCGCTCCCTGTCACCATTATTCTATAATCTCGTTTTATTTTCTTCATGGCTCTTTTCACTATTTACAGTGCTTTTTCTTTTTTTTTTTTTTTGTTTGTCTTTTTTCCTGTACAAAAATGTGTGTTGAATGAGAACAGGGAGAATGTCTATTTTTGCTCAGTGTTGCATCAACAGAACTTAGGACAGTGCTCGGCTGTAGAAAGCATTTAATAAATATTGGCTGGCTGGCTGGCTGGAGATGGGTGGACGGACGCACCAGTAAAATGCAAACTGGCATGGCCATTTGACATTCTAGAGAATTCCAAAGGACTGAGCTAGGGAGAAGCAGAGGCATGGACAGTACACCCTCAGGGGCAGAAGCAGCACCTTTTTCCTGCCGGGACAGAGTGGACTCCAAGGGTAAGGTCCAGGTTTGAGATATGTCAATAAGACTGAGCATAGATGGGGGTCTGAAATGACAGCCTGGAGCTCTGTACAAATGAGAAAGCCTCGAAGAAGGGGTCGGCCTTGGAAGGAGCTGGCGAGATCCAGGATAAGCAGAATGACCAGTAGACAGGTCCAGGCTCCCTCTGAGCCCTGGAGACCACAGGAGGGGAAACCGGAGTGATGCTTTGGTGCCAGAAACTGAGGCAGAGGGGACTGGGGGTGTCGACGGCTCCTTTGGAGGGGGCAGGCGGCGCTGCTGCCACTGTAAGTGCTGCCAGTTTGATTCCCCTCTGAGAGCTTCAGAGCTCTGGGAGGAGGTGGCAGAAGGCAGTTTCCATAGCCATCTTGGTGAGCAGCATCCAGCTTTTTAACCCGAAGTCCTGCAATGGCAGCTTTAAATCTGAACAAGGTCTCTGGAAGGTAGAACCTTAGAGCACCCAGGTTGGATCCAGGACTGGGTCAGGGCCGCTGGGTTTAATGGTTCTATGCCTCTTTCTTAGACTATTGTAGCTGGAAGGATCAACTAGTCTAATGACCTTACTTTTATAAATAAGGAGCAGAGGCAGGAAGGGTAAGTTGTTATCGGAGACTGAAACTCTGATTCCTACGTTAGGCTTTTTGGGCTACACCTGATTTTCCCTGTTCCGTGGGACACAGGTTGCTTAGCATATAAATAGGTGTCACTCATAAAAAACCACGAGATATTTAATCATCAGATAATAATAATGCAAATTAAAATAGCTAATATTTATTCAGTGCTTTCTGTATTCCAGGCCCTGTTCTCAACGATTTGTACTTATTCGTTCATTTCACTTTTATGAGAAACACCGTGAGGAAGGTATATTATCAATATTATTCCCATTCCACAGGTACAGAAACTGAGCCAGGGAGATTAGCTTGCCCACACTCACACAGCTAGTGAGTGGAGGAACAGAAGGTTCAAAGCCTGGCTCTAGACCGCACCTCCACCCCCATTCTTAACCACCAGATAATGTTGCCTATTAAAAGAAGTTTGGTTAAACAAAGTTAGATCTTTTTTTTTTAGCTGCAAGACTTTTCAGGGCCTTTCAAGCGTATACAGGGGCAGTGTGACCCTCCTAGTTGAAGAATGTAGTAAATGCTTTTAAAATTTGATATCAGGAAGACTTTTTCTCGGGGCGTTTTATGGGATTAGTGCTCTCAGCACAGATGGGGAGACAGTGTCCTGTCCGATCTTGAAAGATTTGGATGACCGTGACCGAGGCAGAGCGCTCACCTTCTCAGTCTTTGTGTCAGCCTTGTTTATCTCCCAGAGAAGTAGTGCTGCAGTCTTAGTGGATTGTCACAAGGATAGCATCTCTCCCTTTAGTGACTAGGGGGTTCTTCTCCTGGTCTGGGCCACCTTGGTCCGAAGGTACAACAGGAACAAGCTGTGCCTGCGGCCCCTTGTGGTACATACTGACCCTGCCTGGAGGCCCAGCAGGCCCTTGGCTGAGCGTTGCTTTCCCGGTCTGCACCTACTGCCCCTTCCGTTTCGCTCGGGCCTCATCCAGTCTAAACACAGCGTCGCTAGGTAGTCATGTGGCAAGGGCTCCCATTAATAGATGGGGCTGTCTGGCTCAACTCCGTCTCTCTCCTAACCGATGGCTGGACTCCCACCGAGAACTCCCAAGGGGAGTCTGCCTTGGGAGCTTACACTCAACTGAGAGATTAGGAATGTTCTAAGGCCTTGAGCTCCGAGTTCAGGAAGCCCCTTTTGTTCATTCGCATACCTTACCTCTAACTCCAAGCTCTGCCCACTGCGCCCGGCCATCCAAACTGTGTGGATGGGATTTTTCAGGCCAGAGAGCCCCAGAACTGAGGCTTCTTTTTCTTACCCAGGTAAGTTGCTACATCCTACAGTAATTTAAATGTTTTCACAGACATTATCCTTTTTAAAATCCTCACAACAACCCTCATGTTAAAAGGGGCATGGAATTCTGTGGTGGTCCAATTGTTAAGACTCCATGCTTCCAATGCAGGGGCACAGGTTCAATCCCTGGTTGGGGAACTAAGATCCCGCATGCTGCGCGGCGTGGCCAAAAAAAAAAGATCGTTTTAAAAAAACAATAATAATAATAATAAAGGGGTAGAACGTAAGTAATGTAGGCAAGATCACGTCACTACCAAAACACAAGGCTGTGTTTCAAACCTGGGCCTTCTGGTTCTGAGTCTATTACGTATTCCATCTCATGGCAGTTACATCAAAGAAAGTACAAATGGTCCTGTCATTGCCCTGGGCCTTGCGCATCTTAGTTTTACCACATGGCAGCAACAGTATCTCTTCTATTAATACCATCCTTTAGAGAACCACAGCCTTCAGCTAAGGGGCAATATGAGCGGTATGGATCCTGGCAAATACGTTGAACTTCATCAGGCTATCGTTTTATGTGTATGCTGTGTGGCTGTATAGCGCAGTGAACATATGTAGCAGAGAAGAAACAAAAGAGCTTCATAGAGCTTATCTCTTTCCACCTGACAGGCTTAGTCAGGGAAGCTTCTTCAGCTCTTGATGGATTTGAAGTCATAGACTGTTCCCCGGGGGAAGGGGAAGCTGATGAAGCGCCTTGACTAAGGGTCGCGTATACTTTTCCAGAGCAGGAAATTCTCAGTGATGTTACTTGTGTGTAGTTTGATTTTTTTTAATAGATCTTTATTGGAGTATAATTGCTTCACAATACTGTTGCACAACAGAGCGAGTCAGCCATATGCACACACATGTCCCCATATCTCCTCCCTCTTGAGCCTCCCTCCCACTCTCCCTATCCCACCCCTCTAGGTCATCGCAAAGCTGATCACCCTGTGCTATGCGGCTGCTTCCCACCAGCCAACTATTTTACATTCGGTAGTGTATACATGTCGATGCTACTCTCACTCCGCCCCAGCTTCACCCTCCCACCCCACATCCTCAAGTGCATTTTCTATGTCTGTCTCTTTATTCCTGCCCTGCAACTAGGTTCATCAGTACCATTTTTTTTTTTTTTAGATTCCATATATATGTGTTAGCATACAGTATTTGTTTTTCTTTCTGACTTACTTCACTCTGTACAACAGACTCTAGGTCCTGTTGTAAATAGTGCTGCAGTGAACATTGTGGTGCATGACTCTTTTTGAATTATGGTTTTCTCAGGGTATCTGCCCAGTAGTGGGATTGCTGGACCATATGGTAGTTCTATTTTTAGTTTTTTAAGGAACCTCCAAACTGTCCTCCATAGTGGCTGTATCAATTTACATTCCCACCAACAGTGCAGGAGGGTTCCCTTTTCTCCACACCCTCTCCAGCATTTATTGTTTGTAGATTTTTTGATGATGGCCATTCTGACTGGTGTGAGGTGATATCCAATTGTAGTTTTGATTTGCATTTCTCTAATAATTAGTGATGTTGAGCATCTTTTCATGTGCCTCTTGGCCATCTGTATGTCTTCCCTGGTGAAATGTCTAGTTAGGTCTTCCACCCATTTTTTAACTGGATTGTTTGTCTTTTTGATATTGAGCTCCATGAGCTGTTTGTGTATTTTGGAGATGA